AGTAGGGGGCTCTGAGATGTGGTAGTAACTCAAGAGCTGGGGATGTCATGGATGAAAGGTTGCATGTAGCCGCTCAAAGTCTATACAGGAGAGGGCGCTGCGGTCAAATGCGTATATAATCCCGTTAAACTTAGCATGCCTCGGCTAATGATGTCGAAGCGCAACCCGGAACTAAGCACTACCTATGAGCAATAAAATTTTAAATAAAAAAATCAGCACCATCAGCACGACCTATGAACTAAATCGGTATCATCAGCGCCACCAGAGCTTTGCCTCAATCAACATCAATCACCACGTGGAGATGCGGTCATTTTTTTTTCTTTGAGTTTCCGAAGAACCGGAGAGTGCGCTGAAAATGAGAGGGCACGCGTGCCCGTACCTTTGGCTGCATTGCCCAGGAAATTCGCCCCGGAGTCGGGCTATCCGAGATGCTCCCCCGCATCAGCCGCTTCTCCGAGCACGCCGGTGTACATCGGAGAGGCCCAATTCATGTATGCCGCTTCGGCGTTTCTGCTTTCAAAACTAACAGGCTCCCATCCACCAGTCTGTTATGATTCTCTCCTCGTTTCGGGCAACCGCTTGCGCGCTATTTTGCGTTATATGTAACTACCATCTAGTGGAACGCCAGGCGAACGCCAGCTTGACCCTAGTGCTTTGAGCACGACAGTTTATCGTACATTTATGGACGTTCAAGTCGCTTACTAGGATACAAATTAAAAAAAAAATAAGATAAGAATATCTAGATACATTGTATATAAGTTTGTTGCGCGCCAGATTTTGACAAAAAGCATCGCGTGTTATTAGGAATATGTAGCGGTTTAGTACAATCATCCACGTTGCTTCACGAAATACGATAGTTGTATGTTGTTGCCTAGACTCACAGCCTACCTTGAAGCCTAACTTAAAGTTTCGAGGTAGGCTTCAAATTACTCCAAATCTTATCTCTCAAATTTGTATGAGTATGGTTTTTTACACTATGAAAGACCCATTCGCCGGGGTAGTTTATTAGATGGTGCTAAACACGCTTTCACCACAAGCACTTTAGTTCGTTCAAAGGTTCGTTTGTTTTTTCATCCCAAGCAATGCGTGCAAGGTAAAAACGAATCCAGCCTCCAGAAACCAACTCGTAGAAGGGGTCTTTTAAATTGTTGGAGACTGGGCATATGCGCAACGTGACCTCACAGGACGAAAGTGCATTCCGAGGTACATTCGTGCCAACAGTTTACTCAAAATATCTCATTTTTTTATTCGCTGTTGCGTCGTCAACAGCCCGGTTGGCTATGAAGTGTATTCTTTACTCAGTTCATTGTTCTCACCTAAAAAGAAAAAAACAAGAAAAAACTAGTTTTTACCCTACATTTTTCGCATAATTTAACTACGACACTGTCGCGATATGCAAGCCACTTTGAGGTGGAGTCATTCGGCGCAGTCACTGACAACTACGAAGCGAAAGGGTGTGGATGACTACAGTGGCGTCTCGTCACTTCTCGGTCAATTTCTTATTGATCTTATTGGCTTATTTTGATCTTTTATTGTATGATAACAAGACGGTCGTGCTGGTTGATCACACATTTCATGACAGTTACTAAAATGCTCGTACAAAACGAATCCACTTCATCCTTAATCTATCATTCTTTCTTTCTCTTCCTCTCTCTCTTTCTCTATTTCTAAAAAAAAGTAAAAATGATAAAATGCAATCAACTGCACACAACCCCAACGAACAGTGCTCTCTTCTGAACGGTTACTAGACGTGATCATTTGCAAAGGCGAGCGAAGCTCCTCGATAGAAAACGTCATTTGCGAAAGGTCGTGGTTTCGATGTCTCAAGGGAGTCGCCTCTCCATAAACACTTAAGTGAAGCGGCGCTCTAAGTACATTTAGAAGGAAGAAGCTTCATTTCGAACCCCCCCCCCCCCCTCCTCCCTCCTTCCCTCGAGCGGCTCGGGAGTGAAATTCAATTGAGTTGGTCATCCTTTGTCTCGTGATGCACGAATTTATCTTCTCCGCGGGAGACGCGCGTTTACTCCGAATATCTATCTCAATTTTATTTCGATTCCTTTGTTTATTTTCGACTTCTCCAGCTTTTTTGGCTTTGATTTATCGAACGTCCTTAGGGTAGTTCCTTGCTTGATTCCTCTCTCGATCTCTTTCCCTCGAATAAAACGAAAACAGAGACGCGAAGCCTGCGCTACGAGAAGACCGTTTTCTGTTCTTCTTATATCAGTACGTAAATTTCTTTTGTCTTCGTCTCAATTCCAACCGATAACTAGCTCGCGCGCGCGCGAGCGCCGGCGGTTTCTTGAAAGATAATATGCGTTCCACGGAAAAGCAAACGAAGAAAAGAACAAGAAGTAATTCTTTTCATTCCTCTTTATTATCGTTTTTTTTCTCCAGAATTCTTCTCTCTTTCTCGCTCTCTCTCTCTTTTTTTTTTACATTCCCCAGAACAGTCATGTTCTTCGAATTTCTCTTTGACTCCACGTTCTCTCTATACCAAAGATTCCGCGCGAACGCGTTGGCGCTCCACGCGTTGTACAGCGCTAGAGAGTCTATCTCTCCCCTTTCTTTTTTCTTTCCCCCCTCGCCTTCGGTGCTTATCTTGCTTTTTTGGTTGTTGCCGTGACATGCCATCTTATTCCTTTTTTTCCCCCTAATTTTTCGTGTCTGTCGAAATTAAATGGCTCATCTCGACGTGCCGTCGCCCCAAAATTATCCCGGCTGACATGCACCAACTGAGCTCAATGCGCCGCCGTCGCTACTCTTTTCCATCGCGCCATTCTTCTCAACTGAGCCCTGCGCACGGAACCACTCCCCTTTTCCCCCCTCTTTCTCTGTTTCCCCTTCCCTCTCTCTTTTTTTTTCATTCTCTTGCTACTTAAATTTTCTTTTTTGTCTTTTTGTAACTTCTTTTTTTATTATTATTATTTCTTACCTACCTCTTGATTCCTTTCGTCGAACGTCTTACTTGAGTTCCGTGCAAAGCTCGCTACCTCGTTGGTCGCTACAAAAATCCTTCATGACTTTTTTTTTTTTTTTTTACATCTAGCGAATTGCTTTTACTCGCCGATATTGTTATATTTCTTTTTTTTTATTATTTGGATCGTTTAAACGAGGTCAAATGTATATTATTGCTTTGTTTTTTTTGTTTTTTTTTTTGTCTTCAGGTTCTTGTTTAAGAACCCCACAATGTTTGTCTTTTTTTTTTTCTTTTGGGGTCGCTTTATGATTAGGGTGCTTTAGTTGCGGCGATGTCGATATGACATCAGGTAATTGAAGGGGATCGAGAGAAAGAGAGAAGCACCGGGAAGAGAATACGGATCTGTATAACCGCGGATGATTGCGTAGCCCTCTGGTTCTAGACGTGTATAACGCAAAGTCCACATTGATCTTATATGTGATACGTGTTTCTGTTATCTAGTCGTCAAGAGGGTCACCTCATATCTTTCAAAAGTCTTAAAACTAATCAAAGTATTTTTCTACGAAGGTTCCTTCAATCGATACGAATATTAGTTGGTTGCTTTGGTTTACCGGAAAAGGGTCGACGAAACCGGCAAGGCCCAAAACTGACTTAAGGCAAAACCTCCGGGCGATATGGACCCCCGGAGGTTTTGTGTTTAATGTTCAATCAGTGTTTGGAAATCAAACTCATATTAAAATTATTTTGGATGTTGGACGTTATCGGCTATGAGAGCATCGCCAAATTTGTCTTTGTTGTTGGATTCACAAAGAAAATAACAAATATGCTAACCTGTTATTTCAGTTTAAACGAATAAGAAACATGAAGGACAAGGAAAGACGAGCTCACTCTTTTATTTAGAAACATGCGAACAACGAACACATTAAACCTTGTTTCCAAGAAAAAAATAGTGGCTGTCTGTTTTTGTCCTTCGTGTTTGTTTCACTCTTTCGAGCTAAAATAGCCCATTCACAATACGTTCACATCGATTCCTCCTAATCTGAGCATTGGTTTCAAAGTTGGCTCTTCAATTTTTGAGATAAGTAAAGGAGAAAAAAAAAGACATAGATAAGGCCAAAAATGGCACATGGCATGAGTGTCGTTCTAAGAGCCATGGCTAATTTACGGCTAGACCGTACATTTTCCTCTATTTATCTATAAGGAAATTAGATGAATATTTTCTGTTGTAAAGTAGATACGGAGGAGCGCGTTGTAGACAGCACACAAATAAATGAATAAATAATAAAACATTTAATATTGAAGAACACATACATGTTTTTTTGTCATTCTTTATTTTTTATTTATTCATTCTTCCTAAAAGAATGGTGTATGTTTGTGTTCGTCCCCTTAAATGTTTCATTCTTTCTTTCTTTGTGCAATATCTTGTGGTTTTTGTTTATTTCTAAAATATCAATGCATTTCGGTGATCTGCTTCAGACTGGCAATAAAACGGTAATTATCTAAAAAAAAACTCATTAAAAACTAAGAACAATAGTCTAAGAGGGGAGGGTTTCATAAAAAAATCTACCTGTTTGAACCGAATTTATATTTTTGACCCCGACAGGCGTTTTTCCGTACGTTTCAGTATGAACCGATCAATCTTTTTGACACGGGACAGATGTTTATCGGCGTTTCTCCGGTTAAAAACCGGCAAGTCTACGCTCTACTTACGCCTCACTTGGGCTATTTGGCGATATTGACAACCCCAGCGAAATCGATGGCACCTAGCGGCTAGAACAGAATGCTGTGGCGGCAGGTTCACTCACCAGCCTCCTCGAGCGCGTCAGGTATTCACAGCGCCTGGTGGTTTAAAGACGAAGCCTCGAACGTAGGCTCAAGACCACGCGATGAAAATCTAAATAGGCAAAAATACTCCAAAAGCCGGGAGACGTCGTGATTAAAATAAAGACACCAACTTAACAAAGCATTAAAAAAAATCAATAAACGTTTCGCCTCCCAGTGAATGGGGACGGTTCGCGCCAAGTTGGCGGCTGGATGTCGACCAAGTGTGCCCTGACGCCGTGCTCTTGCTCACCCTCCACAGAACCACCCGTGATCTCCCACTACGAGTTCCGGCAGGACATGCAAGTGGGCATGCGCATCAAGGTCTTCTGTACCGTGGTCCGGGGCGACGCGCCCTTCCTCTTCACCTGGCTCAAAGACGGCGTCCCCGTCGACCCGACCGCGGGGGTCCAGGCGGGCCTCAGCGTCCAGAACCAGAGGGACTACTCCATGCTCTCGGCGGACTCACTCCAACTGGAGCACTCGGGGAACTACACCTGCGTCGTCAAGAACCAGGCGGCGACCACCACGTACTCGGCCATGCTCAGGGTCAACGGTACGTTTATGCTGTATGGTGCCTCGACGCGTCTCCGGCTGCTGCGTTTACCGTGTCCAAAAAAGTGGCCTCTCGACGTCCGTCTAATGATGTCATAGAGGTGTCATGCTGTCGCCGGCCGTGGTATCACAGTAACGGAGGTGTATGTGGCAGGCACCTGTTGCGCTGCAGATCGCTCTGCTGTTTGACAAGCCACGGAACCCTTAGCGAAAAGTCGTTCAAAATCAGTATACTGAAAGTATACTAATAGTGAACTTAGGGTATGTACTGAAATCGTACTAGTTTCACACTTTTATGAAACAAAATAGTACACCTTTAGTACACCCCAAGTACATATGTAGTATACCATAAGTGCACCTCGAGTGTACTTTTAGCATACTATAAGTGCACGTTTAGTACACTACATGTATGCTTTTAGTGTACTAAATGTACACTATTAGTACATATATGCGGAGTGTCTCAGATAACTTGCACCAAACTTTAAAAAAACAAAAACGGAGCGTTCTGCGGGAGTGAAACCATCTGTACACTGTTAGAAAGTCTCTTGCGAAAGTGCACGAAATTGTTTTAGTGCGCTATTTATTTAATTAACACTAAGAAGATAACTTTTGAAATATTTGTTTAAAAGCCGAGGTGTGAAATGGAAAGTTGTAGAGCGCATTAAGAAACACCCAATTAAACCATTTTCAACAAGATGCACTTTGCATGCTCCTTTTCCCTAGCCTTCAAAAAAACGCCCGCGAAATACAAAAAAATACCCCGTGACAACTCGCTTCACCAATCACGGCGTGCGATCGCGCCGCGAATATACGTTTTTTGAAGGCCGGAAAAAAGCACGAAAACGTATTATGTTTCAAACACTTTAATTGGGTGTTTCTCAATGCGCCCTGCAACTTTACAATTGATATCTTGGCCCTTAAAAGAATATTTGAAAGGTTAGCTCATTAAGCTTAGTCATTTGCATAACCAGGCGCATTAAAGAAATCTGTGCACTTTCTCAAGACACTTGCTAACGACAGTTGATTTCACTCCTGCAGAGCCATCCGGTGTTTTTTTAAGTATGGTGCAAGTTATCTAGGACGCCGTGTATGTCGAACGTTCTGAATGGAAAAAAACGGTCTCAAATTGACCAGAAAAATCGGCGCCTGCATTTAAAAAGCTGACTTTTCAAAGGTGTTTCTTTGAACGGCTGTATTCCAACCTGTGAAATTTCATCTCATACGGCTCCATTCTCGTGAAATGTTAAGAAACGCCGTTGACAACTCAATTGATGATGATAATGCAGAGGCGCCACCATCGGGAGATGCACTCTTAAAAATGAGTCAGGAAATTAACGAGGAAATCTTTGGCAGCTCTATTCCTCGTGAGAATGACGTGCCGGCGTCTTCTGAAACTGTGTGAGAAAAGCCATAAAGAAGAGGTGCACTGCTTTCTTCAACTGAAAGTATGTATGTGTAGCATACAAACATTATGATCAGTGTTCTTCGCGTAATTGATAAGACTGAAATTGAAATCCTACTTATCACTTTATTCAAGTTTCCGAGCATGCCTCACTGTACACTCTCGTTAGTGATGATGGTATGCCATTACATCCTGCGTAAAAAGAGAAGAGAAAATTACCCTATGCCACTCTATGATATAACATCACAAAATTCGCTCAAAGGACCACTATGCGAGGAAGGCAAGATAGTAACAACTTCATCCTGACAAAAGGGCGAGGAAAATCGGACAATATCGTTTCTGAAAACCTGATACCTGAAAGAAGCTCTAACACAGAGTAAAGAAAATGATTGGCATTTTCTTAATGTCTCCTTTTCTTTTGCTGTGAACACACATACAAGTCATACGCTATTACACATTCAGTGGTGCGGCTTAATTTATGATAAGTACTTTTTTATTTAACTTCGAGCTTTTAGAGAAAGATTCAATATAATGGGTCGGACATAAATGGTTGCTATGAACTATCCTATATATTTACACATTATCTGATATCATAAAAGCACTAGAGCAGGGTAGGGCTGTACTGCATCAATTATAGATTTCTAACCAATTAAAAGTTGGAATTTATTTAATTTATTAGTATTGGCTATTATTCTTTGACGAAGAATAACTGGGCGAGTTGGTACGTTGGTAATCTTTCAACTCCATCGAATATTCAGGTCCTTTTAACATTTTTTTCATGCTTTTGCTTTTTCTAACTGCTCTGCCTTTTGTAGCGGCTTTCGCCGCCACTAAAAAACGTGACATCCAAACTCACTTTATTCACAACACAAAATCGCAAACTTGGAAAGCTTGCCGCTTCGGCATACGCAAAGAGATCGTCCGTCTCTACGGCACAGGCATCAGCACGGGCAAGAAATCATGCTGCTCGCTCTTGTAACGTTTTTCACGCTCCCGCTTTATGAAACAAATCGCTGACGAGAGACTGTTGGAACCACACCTCAGAACTAGCATGACCTGTGATTGCTTGAACTGCCGTCAGACTGTACTTGAACGCTCCGCAAAAGCGTCGTCGGGCGACCGTCGTAGGGACGGCGCCCAGGACAGGCCTTCGGCTGGCCCTCGGTTCCGCCGCACGCGAATCTTTCTCACTCTGCGGAGAGAGCCATAAATTTTGAAGATACGCTCTTTTCAAATAACGAAATAAAACCGGGTATAGCATAGTGAGAGTCAAGCATAGCTTAGCAAGCACACGGTACAAGACAAAGTTTGAAACAGCGGCGCACTTCGCAGAAACAAAAGTAACTTCCTCACCTTCGCTTGCACCAGTCGGCCATGACTGTCCGCCACTTGCGACGCTGTGTCTCACAGCTCTCAGTAATCGCTTGCTATTATTGAACACGGTATTCGTAAGTAAGATATCTAAAATATCCGCAAAAACGGCTAAAACGTAAAAAGGAAGCGATGCTCGAACTCCCCGGAACCACCGGAACTCCAACGGCGGCCGAACGGAAGCTGATTGCAATAGCGATGGTCTTGCGCAGTTTTCAAAAGTTTCTTCTTTTTGTTCTTTTTTTTTTTAAGACAAAATTAAGCAAATCAATATATTAATAATAATAATGTCACTTTATTATATTCGTAAAATATTAACAAAACGTTTAGTCTATCTTAGGTTTTATCTAAACTTTCGGTTTTCTTTTTCAGTGTAAAACCGAAACTATCTCAAGCAATTTCTCCCTTGTCGCCAAGGCTATTTTGAATCATCAGCGCATGCTTGCACCGCTAGTATTTCGGCTTTTCTGGAAGGATCAGCTCTCGCGGCACATAAATAATGAGGGCAACCTCGTGTTTTGAAACAGTTAGCGTGCCCGTCTTTTTTGACGAGGGAAAGACACGTTAAATTTACGTCGATTTTTTACAGTGTGGAAATCTCGATCGACGGTGTTGTTCGTTGTTGCAATTGTCAATCTCTTTTCACGTGAATTGAGATGTCTTAGAGTTTTGCAAGATAAATCTACACCATGAAACACTTTCGGTGAAAGCTTGAGGTTGTTACATAAAGGCGCCGATTTCTCCAGCCAATTTCAGAGCGAGCTTCCATTCATAGCATCACTTCGCTTACGCGGTTCGGAAGTTGATTTGCGCTGCATGCGACCATGCAAGGTGGAGGATCTTATGCCCCTATTATTAGCCGTGATTTTTTTTGCCTCCTGTTTTTTTGATTGCTGTGGATGCAGATATCTGATACAGCGTATAGTACGCTGAGACCTGCATTACAAAAACACCGGATTATCCTACAAACGTAATTTGTCTACTAGCCTATGAGGCAGCACGCAAGTGGCGGTGCACTTTGAAAACAAAGTCATGTGCATGCTTTTTCATCAGCAGCATCAAACACTTGGTGCGATTGCCCTCGATCGCCCAGCTTCCGAATAGTGCTAACAGTTTTTTTTATAGTAAACTTTTATTCTTCAATAAAGGTAACAAATACAGCTCAGGGAAAATAAAAGCTATCTTTGCAATAAAAGTAGACTTTTCAATTGATAAATATAGTAGAAATGACTAGCTAAAATAATTATTGACAAGTTAGATAACGCTACTTTCCGTGGCGTACAATGTAGCTAATTTTTCTATTTGTGCTTTTCTTTAGGCGTAAGTCCATGTTGCATTTGCAACGTAAGTATGCTCTGACTGTGCCGGTCGTTTCTCCGGGGAACTTTTGGACCACGTGGTCTGCAGTGAAATGAGAAATGAAGCATCCCTTTGTCACATTATGTCAGCTATACCCGGTGATATTTTTTAATCAACTGGTTTTAGAAAAATAGGGGGCTCATGTCATGTTGATGCACTCTTCATGTGTGTCGTGCGACTCGGCGGACATTACATGGGTGAATAACCGTGGCAACATCTTTTTAAGTAATTAAAATCCGTAAATTTACTTTTTTTTATTATTGCTGTTTTAGAGGCAGTCGTTATTGCAGCCTAACACAATCAAAACTATTCACGAAACAGCAAGGGGCTTTAAGATATTTATTTATCAAATTTCGCACTTTTTCTCTCTATTCAAGAACCACGCGCGGCAGGGGCGGGCAAAGTGGAGAGTGAAATTAGCGGTTTTGACATGGCATATCGGTGATGGCATGTTTGTTTGTGTTAGCGAGAACTTCTCATACTGGAGTTCTATGCATTATTTAATTTTCTAGTGAAGTTACAACCCTCATAAAGTGCTGTCGCATTCAGCATGAACGAAGTTGCACTCTTTTGAAAGCGTGCCTTTGGTGGATGCTCCAGCATCATATTTCCAACGGTTCGACTGAAGGGAATACGTAAGAATACCATCCTGCGCTCTGTCCAGGGCGCTGTTTTTAATCAGGCGACGAAAGGCAGAGTTTTAGCTATGAATAACCCAAAACACGTCACCTTTTCGCAAATTGTTTCAGTTGGGCTAGAGTTTATTCATAGCCCCTTTAAAATTTAAAATTCAACATGGTCAATTACACTGTCAATTACAAAAGCTAATTAGACAACGTATATGACGTTTATTTACTCATCTAATGTCC